TTAGAATAAAATTTCCCCACCAATCCACTAGAATTTGTTGGAATAATTCATGCCCTCCCCGTGGCAGTTGTATTAGTAGAAGCAGCACCAAGGAGAAACATACAACTGCCTGTGAAACTCTCAACCTTTCCTATGTCAGAACTGTTGTTCTAGAGAATTGGCTTTTCCATCATTTACTTCTATGACCGAAAATACATAAATTGCATCCAAATGTTTAATCTTGAGAAATTTTAGAAAATAATTCTTATTTACTAAAAATAAGGAGGCAAGAAAGAAATTGGATCTATAATTGGCTGGGTTTTGCTTTGCATTCCAACAAAAACAAGTAAGTTCATGCTCACTGATCTAAACACCCCTGAAATGGTGTATCCGACACTAAATCAAACAGCAACCAAAAATTATTTTTTCATGCAAGTGATTTTATTCTCTGCTTGGCAGATGAAGACTCAGAGCGTTCTGACAAAATATACTAAGTGATTAAGAAATAAATATCTTCCCCGAGGGACACTAAAATAATGTGCCTTCAGATAAGAGAGGATTTCACAAGGGAACAAACACTAATGCAATTTTAATGGAAATTGAGTAGAAGGAATATTTTGGCAAAGCGTGAAGAACCACACACTTCAAAATGACCATTTCATCTCGTCCTGCAGAACTCCTGCCCCAGACATGCCCCTTCGAGAGCTGCCCAGAGGGTCACCCATGACCACAGGCTCCTTTGTGGTTCATTATTCTCTTGTTTTTCCTACAGCATATGCCACAGACAAGATTCTCCTTCTACAGTTCTGTTGATTTGCCTGGTTCTGTTCTCTCTAGGTTCTCTTCCTAACGCTGATCATTTCTCTGTTCACTTTAGTCCTCCTTTCTCCTCAAATACGAGCATTAATCAACATATAAAGTTATTTTGGATTTTTTCTCTGCCCGCACTACTTCATTGTTATCCATGGTTTTAGTCCCTAGATATAGAAAAATGATTGCAAAATCTGCATCATTCTTAGGCATTTGCATTATCTGTTGCTGGTTGATTATATTTGCCATAGATGTGTTTTTATCAAACGATCAAACGTGAACTCATGGGTTTATTTCTCCCACATGTTCTTTCTTCATCCTTCCCATTACACCGAATGGCATCACGACATGGTCCACAATGTTTACTGTCATCTTCAATTCTTCCCTTATCTTCACCTGTGGATTTCTCTTCCTGGACCCCACCGCTCCACCTCCTTTCAACCTTTGCTTTTGTTTATATGATTTGTTCCCTCGTTGCCTCTTAGAAAAGTCTACCAGACTCTATTTACATACTTTATTTTGTTTTAAATATGTTTTATTGATTATGCCATTATAGTTGTCCCAATTTTTCCCCATTTGCTCCCCTCCACCCCAGTATCCACCTGGTACTCCACTTCCCTTAGTTCACGTTTATGGACCATGCATATAATTTCTTTTGCTTCTCCATTTCCCATGCTACTGTTCACGTCCCCCTGTCTATTTTGTACCTGCCAATTATGCTTAATCTCTGCACCTTTCCCCTTGTTCTCCTTCTTCCCCCTCCCAGCTGATAATGTTCCAAATCATCTGAACAAAACCCCAGAAAAAAAAAAAACTAAAGAAAAGAGATAACCAACCTATCAGATGCAGCATTCAAAACACTGGTGATCAGGATGCCCAACGAACTCACTGAGTTTGGCAATGACATAGAGGAAGAAATGAAGGTTACACTAAGCAAACTAAAAAAAAAAAATCTACAGGGAACCATCAGTGACGGGGAGGGAACCAGGGTTCAAATCAACAATTTGGAACATAAGGAAGAAATAAGCATTCAAGCAGAACAGCAAGAAGAAACAAGAATTCAAAAAAGCAAGGATAGTATACAAAGCCTCTGAGACATCCACATACTTTCTATTGATCTATTGTACACACCACTGCCAGAGAAAAGTCTTCATAAACCCCAAGCGTTCATCACTTCAGCACCATGTCTAAGACAATAACCAACGTGTGGTATATGGCAAAAATCTTTACCAATCTTTTATAGTCTATCTCAAATGCTATTTATTCCCAAGCTCCAAAATCCCATGTTCTCTGTTCCTGCAGCTTTCTTTTATCCTTTCTCGCAGGTCCCCTCATGTTAATCCTATCCGTAATATGTCAACACTTTAATGCAACACCACTGAGGCATCTTTGAATGTTTGCATCGCCCACAGTATTTCTAGTAGCAAGCCTTTAATAGATGTTGACTGAAGTAATCACTCACAATAAAATACAGTAACAATATGGTTATGGCACATCATTGCCTGTATATGGCAACAGACAAGTTTGAAATTTGTAGTTTTTGAGCAAAATCCTGAAATGCATATAATTCTGAATGACATACTCCTTACAGAATTGAAAAACCAATGCTTTTAGACTTCAGCCACCTGAGGTTTGTTTTCGTGGTTCTCTCCTTAGTTTTAGCGCTCTCCATTTTCACTTTTATGTTGTAATGATCTTATGAAACTGAAATTGTAAAATAAACTTCCTGGTTTTGATAACATTATAAATTCTGTAACATTTATATTGTGACTGGCAAATAATAATGTTTATTGAGGATTTACTCTGTGCTGGGCACTGCTTTAAATAATTAACATGTATTAATTCTTTTCAATCCTCATAAGAATGCTACAAAACAGGTTTTCTTTATTTATAAATTGGAAAATGAAGGCACAGTAGTAACATAACTAACTCAAGGTCACCCGGGTAGTAGATAGTAGATAGCCAAGTTCAAGCCTTGGCCTTCTGGCTTTTTATTTTATCCCCTCAATATAAGAACAGTATCTTCTTTTACAAAGTCAATTAACTTTCCCATCTCATGGCTTTCAGAGAACATGTCTTCACTTTCTATTTTTCAAGGCTAGAGAGGCAGAGAGGGGAAACAGTGGGCTTAGGTTAGTTCTAGTTCGGTAATCTTCTACTGCACAGACATGGCCTTGAGCCCATTTCCTATAAGTAAAACAAAATTAGCACAGGGCATTTTGGTACACAGGTCTTGGATGCCACAGGAAGTCACTGCAACCAAGGAGGATGATGGCAGTACAGACATTATCCTTGGTGCGGTGCGTTGCATGGATTCTGTTTCATAGACACTCTTCTTGTTTTACTCCTTCCAGCTCCAAGACTTGTCTAGTCTCCAGGGACAGGCATGTTTCCTCTTACTTCCTTTAGTGTGTTTGTGTGGACACAAGAAAGACCAGACCTCACTTACTAGACAGGGGCGGGACTAGCCAAGCTAGACCAGGCGCAGGAGGTGTGTGTAGGAGACACCGAGGAATGTAGCCTGAAGGAGCAGACACTCGGGTGGAAGCCTCGTTACCGAAAACCTTGTTGCAAGTGATGCCATGACGAAGATGAATGAGACTGGGGACAGCCCCCAAGGCAGTAGAATAAGAATGTTAAGTCAGAGCCATGGGGAAATGATTCAGATCAATATAAGAAATCACCTTTTCAAAGAGGTCCCTAAACATGGTATGGGTTTGCCTGAGAAGTAGGAACTGCCTCACCACTAAAGGTATCGAGACTGTTGGACAAACACTTGGGAGAGATGTTACAAAGAATATATCATTAGCTGGATGGTCACACTAGGTGACTTTTAAATTCTTGCAACCCTGAGAAACCATGATTTCAGTTCTGCTGTCGGGCGGGGGTCCTGTATCTTCCACGCCACCCCAGGGCAATCTTCGACAAGACAAGCTTGTCTTGTTTCTGTTTTTCCCTTCCCCAGCCCACAGGACAGATTTCTCTTTTAATTTTGATTCTCTCATCCTGAACCATTTATACAAATCATGTCATTTTTCCTAAAGGAGACACAGAGTCTTTCTCCATTACCCATATATACTAACCTCCTACTGAGGCATACAAAATAAACACATATGTGGTCTTATCAGAGAATGGCATTTTGAACAAGCTACGTGTTCCATGTATGCAAACATCTGAAACACATGTACATTAAACATGGATAGGTTATAGATGAAATATATAAACACACAGAGTCCAGTCACAGAGATAATAAAACATAATATCTTGGGATTTGGGAGTCATCCTCATGGATGGGAAATTTCAAGAAACAAAATTACAGATGAGATCATCTGAGCCCAACACATTTTTTTTAGAATGAAAACAAAACAGAGCAACAGACCATGGAATTGGACCCGAAGACAGTAAGAGGGACTAGGGACTATTTTAAAGCTAAATATGTCTGTACACTGTCATTCATAGGAGTCTTTTAACTTCACATATGGACATTTCCTTAAAGAGTACCGGGAAACCCAGCCTTGGTAGACTGCTGATCGAAAAAGTGATTAGAAAATATACTAAATGCTAAGTAACTAGGTTATCTAGGTAATAATACACATAATCATGTCTGTATTGAATCCGGTTTGTTCTATGTGAAGCAAGCAATAATTTATACAAGCCGTTTCCTACTGTTACCATAATTGATGATAAGCCTTTTCTGTAAATTTTGTAAACTTGGGAGGTTCTTATTAATAATAAATTAATTAATAAGTGTGTACTGACTATTCAATAAAAACAAAATATAACAGCAGGGCAACGCCATAATTTCCAGATGTCTGCCTTTCATCCCCTAAGGTAAGTGACCCAACCCCACAGAAAAGGTTAAGACTGAGGAATGAGATATTCTGCACCCCCATAAGAAACTTCCTCAATACTTCTAACAATTGTAAGGGCACCACTGGGACCCAGGATGATGGCTGAGCCCTGGACTTACTCTGCATCTTATTATACTTATTATGATACCGCTGCAACTCAGGACTCCTAGGTGCCTCTTAAACTTATGTTTATTATTTTATTTAAAAACATGAAGGTAAATAGCAGTGAAGATTCATGAGGGAGCAGGAGAGAACAAAAAAAGATAAATATTAAGTCCCAACTAGACAAGGCATTGGGCTTTATAGGTGTTGGTTTATAAATACACAATGTATTTTTCACGTCCATTAAAACTGGCTTACCTGCTGCTAATGTCCGTCCGGCTCCCGAAGCGCTGGCTACACAACCAATGGAATTGCAGAGAGAAACAGTGAAGTTGTAGATTCTGTAAGGTTTCAGGCCACTTACAACATAGGACATTTGCTGGGGTTTGGCTGTGGCCAACACCTTCAAGGCAAAGAACAAAACAAAGCAAGTCAGATTGTAGGTAATCAGTGTGAAAAATATAACCCTGGCAGTCAAAGTTCCATGAATTTCAACAGAAAGAATCAGTGCCAATCGCTCTCAGGAAAAGGGACGTTTTCGAGTGTGAAGAGTCCCGACAAGCTAGGGTTTAATTGATAATTGTACAACCACACTGTTTTATGAGGTAATAATCCAGTTCCTGAGTGGATAAACGAGGAAACCAAGTTATTGCCTCATAAAGCAGCGTGGTGATATGGTTATTGTCACCAATGGTAGAGATAAAGATGGTGACATATCATTGTTAACATGAAAAGCCCAATTAAAACCACAGGGCTTGGTCAAAACTAACCCAATGCAGTGATGCCCACATGCTACTTGATGGGGTCATACAGAGAGCTGTCACTTTGGTTAATCGACCCCATCATTGTTATGTAAAAAAAAAAAGAAGAAAGAAAGAAAAAAGTAAACACATTACTGAGCATCCACATGAGGTCAATTCTCAATTATCTTTCTTATGCAAATAAGCATATGTAGATTAGATCAAACAGTAATTTTTTTGAAATATTATCTTTATCACACAATTTCAGATAAAAATAGTAGATTTGAGCAAAGGAGACTGAGAGGAACACCCTAGTCTGTAAACAAGTAATGAAATAACCAACAAAGAGGGTGGGTCCCATCATTAAAACTAGAATTGATCAAAGTGCCCACATACATTTGCTGAGTCTGTAGCTACAAAGGCTACTGGAAATGATATCCAGAGAAAAGTCACTAAAGTAGAAAGTTAACACCAAGCATATGTAAGGAAAAAAAAATGATTTCTTCTAAGGAATCAAAAAAATCTCTTATAAATGCAAATAAATTTTATAAATATAAAAACTGTAAAGGTAAGTAATGTCAGAGGAATTTTCTGGATGTTCTCCCCTTAGATATAAAATAAAACTCATTTGGAATATTTACATGGGTCTTGACTTGAAAATTCATCACCTCAGTGAGCAGTTTCAGAAAGCAGGGTAATTGGAATATAAATTATATTGTTTACATAACAGTTTTCAGAAATAAAGGTGATTTTAAAGTTTCTAAACTTCTGGGGATAATTTAAAACTGTGGTACCATTTCATTGCAATTACATTTAGAAATCAGGAAAGCATCAAACACTGAGTTCTTAATCCTTTAACTCTCTAATTATACATGGTTATTAAGGAATTAAAGATATAAACTTTGCTGCTTTTCCCAGGTGACTTAAATTTTCTTTAAAAATACAACTTCAAAATGGGTAAAACTTAATGTTTCTATAAAAATTCATCCATTTAAAACCCCAGTGGAATTAACACAGCTTCTTTAGAAAAAAAATTGTTTTTAGGACAAAGTATATTAAGGTGCTTCTTATTTAATGTCTGATGCTCAGAGGACAGCATAGTCCACATCTGGGAATGCTGCTCTGACCAAGGTCCTGAGTCGAGCGGGATGCCACAGGCTGTGAGTGCCCCCCTCCCCGGCACCACTTGGAAGGAAGCTACTGCAGACCGAGGTTGTGCTGCGAGCAGACTGGCACCTTGGGACAGAAAGCCTAGCAGGCCCTATGCTACTACAGGTGACATAGTGGGAGGAGATGCTCTGGGACACTTACAGCAAGCCCCCAATCAGAGAGTCATGAGGCAGATCCCTAGGAGGTAGAGCAAGGGCCTATCACTGGATGGAAAGGACACAGCGCTTGCTAGAGCTCCTAGCGTGCTCTCAGGCCTCCGTGCAAGCAGAGGACCTGCCTAGGGAATGTTCAGTGGCCGTGCATCCAAGGCTACTCCTCATGAGTTAGGTTCCATGGGACATGCCAAGTCTTAAGGTCAGGTGGACCAGACAGAAATTCATCCTACAATCAAAGTGGGTACCTGGAAATGGACCTACACAAAGCCAGAAGGTACATGTTACGCAAGTAGGAAGTCCAGCCCCTAAGCCATCGTTCTGGGGGTTGACCTCAGCTAGCACCTGTCACTCCTACGAAGTCTCTTTAAAGCTGAAAGAGCAGAAAATGGGGTTTGCTTCACAAATGGGTTGTCTGAGAATGTGGCTGCTGGTCAAATATGGGTTACGGCTGCTCTGTGGCCACCTTAGGATGGTCCTAAAGACCAGCAGTAAAAAGAGACCCTCTCCATGGGCAGGACCTCAGGCAGTGCCCCTGGTCACCCCTTTGAGTGAAAAGGGGAGGATCCCAATGTTGAATACACCTGGGCTTAGCTGTATTAGTCATGGACATCAAAGAAAGCAGACTGAACAATGAGGAACCAGGGAGTCTGGGGAAGAGGAATTTGGGTGGATTAATGGAGGAAGGGTGGAATGTGAAGTTGTTTTTGTCACATCTGTCCCCTTCAAAGAGCATCTCCCTCAGTAGAGGTGTTAAACAGCCAAGTATACAGCATGGTCTGTCCACTTGACACTGGCCACACTCTGCCATTGGCCACCCTCATGTTGATCAAATGGGCTAATGGAGAACCTTGGCACAACCATAGGCTCACATGAGCCTCTCATCCTCTGAGTTTGTTTGTTTGCACACGTCTATTAAATGAGTTAGTGCATGTGCACAAGAAGGCCACAGCGACTGTGAGCAATGATTGTTATTCCAATTACTGCTAGCTGGACAAGGAATTACTACTGCACGATAGATCAACATCTGCCCCAAAGCTTGAATATCATAATCTTGCGTATAAGCTGTGATAAATTCCATTCCCCAGATCTTCCCTAAGGAAATAGAAATATGGAAAATGCACATTTAAAATGTTCTTATTCATGTTGTTTATATTTCTAAAATAATTAATACAACATAAATATCAATTTATTGTGCATTGGTTAGAAACATTATTGTAGTTGCTTAGCTACTGAAAGTCAGCCTCTTGCATCATTTTTAAGGATATATATTAAGTGGAAAAGGTAAATTGTATAAAAAATTTTACCAGCTTAGTTTTAATATATGCTTGCATTGGAAAAATATTAGTTACATATAAAGAAGAGCTTTGTACATATCACATTACAAAAGGAAACAGATGCCCCATTTAAGCAATGTATAAGGGAGAATTCTGCAACTGTAATCTGCAAACTCAGGAAATGTCAAAATGAAGACATAATTCGATTCTGAAAATAACAATACCTGTGAGAACGACTCCGGAGTAGACCGTTGAGGTGACTGTTCAGAAATCATACTGATGTCGTACCTCGCAACCTGTCCTCGAATAACGTCATCTGCTGGCTTCTCCCAGGACACTTTGAGAGAGGACGGTGAGAGGGGGAACACTGACGGAGGGGTCATGAACACAGGCTCTGCCGATGACAGTAACAACGGCAAAACAATGAACACTTACGGGTCTTTCTGACTGACTCCACCCATTTATTCGAGTTTCTGAAATATCCCATATTTTACCTAATATTCTGATTTTTAAAAATCAAAGAATATACTGCTGCATATAAGAACTATTCTTTTTTATGTTACCTGCAAGGGCGGTCTCCAATTTCATACGAGCATCAAAGATGTTTCCCATTTACAAGATAAAAATTATCTAGTAATTTGTTCATAATGATAACTGGTAGATAATTGGGTGGGAAACCATAAGTCTTATAAAGTATTTGGAAAAAAAGCAAGTAACAAAACAGACTATGTTTCAGTTCACAAAGTTCAAAACCATGCATCCTGACATATTGGATTTCTTATATGGAACAGCATTCACTGGGCCAAACTAGTGTACCTGGGAGAATATTCTTCTTCAGAATGAACTAAGTCTAAAATCTTCTAACTAACCCCAAAGTAATTTTTTAAGGTTTCAATAAATCTTGACTGGAATGTGCAGGGTATATCTACACATACACATTCTCCCCTTGCCATCCTTGAGATCTTAATATAGATTTTAAATGTGCTAACCAAAAGTGCATTATCCAAAGACCTCATCGCACTTTCATTAGCCAGTGACCCATAAGATTATGAGGGTCCGGTGTTGTAGCTTCACCTATTACTTTTCATTTCTGACCTTGATTTTCCCCTTCCAGAATGCCATGGCTCATCACTTGTGCTATCGTGGTGCTATTATTTGTCCAAGATGGCTGGCGATCGTTAAGAGATGCTCCAGCACAATGCACATTTTATTCATGAAATGATTCCCTTGGACATCAACCTACAGTTACCCTTACCCTCCACAGTTCTGGCAGGTCCAAGTTAAATCAGGACTTGCAGTTCTGTGGATAGCTACAAATTCAAGGCATGATGACAGCGTATTTTTAATTGCATTAAAGACTCATAAAATTTGAAGTGTGTGAGTAAAGAGTAAGGTGGAGAATTTAAACTATCTCACTCTTCTTAGTAAAGATAGCTTTGAAAAATTAAAAATTTTCACTCTTTTCTTTCTTTCCAAATTGCCAACTGCCTATATAAGCACTCTTGTGAATTACAGATTTTGACATCCAGGACTCTGTCATTCAGGACAATCTAGTAGCTAGACTACTTGTTTTAAAAAGAAAAAGAAAAACAAAATCAGAATTGTGATGTTTGTAACAGGTACATCCCTGGGCATGAGTTGTGCTCACTGAACATGAATGATGCTAATTTGGAGCAAGATAAGAGAACATACGTCCAACCCACTGCAGGGCTGGACATCAATTGCTATTTTGCAAACATCCTTCAAAGACTATAACTATAGTTAAGTCATTGCCCTGCCACGTGGAGAATAAAGCATTTTTCCCACAAAACTTACTGCAAGTCCTTTATGACCTTAAGTTATGTATGTAATCGACTGACATACTAAAGGTTTCCTTACCATATGTCAGCATATAATTCTTACTTGAGTGCTGTTGACTTTAATTTGAGACAGTATTTTTCCGCAGGAGTTTTAAAAGTAAAATTTAAAGCCTGATCTTTACCTGCTTCTCCTGTTCTTTCTGAGGTCCATGCCGAGGACACACTGCCAGCCATGTTCACGGCCGAGACTCTAAACTCGTACTGGGTATACGGCTCCAGGCCGGCGATGGTTGTGGACACCTGAGGAGCTTTGAACGTGTGTTCACTGGCTGATTCTGCAAACAGGCGAGGACTGAGCCAGCCACTGCTCTCAAAAACCTGACTCTCAGCCGACATAGTTTCTCCACTAGATTTCAATTTTTTCATGTAGAGTTCATATCTTATAATTACTCCTAGGAAAGGGAAAGAGTGAACCAAGATGGCTCATCAGACAGAGGGTTTGGGGGGTGGGGTGGGGTTAAGTCAGTTAAAGAGTTTTGGTTTTTCATTATTCTTCTGCCTAAATTACTTCGCCATTTTCTTAGTAACACAGACTGCAGGTACTGCCAAAAAAACAACAAGCTGCTGGACAGATGAATGTCTGAAATGCTACTAAATGTGTATGCATGTAAAAAACCCACTGGGAACATACACAACACAAAATAACTCTAATTTATAGTAGGTAAACTCATAATTTTTTTTCAGGATGAGTGGTCATAATTTCTACCTAGAATAGCTATTTCTTTATGGGAATTTTATCAGTGTACTTCCAGTTTGCCCATTTTCATATGGGGATTTTAATTGGTTAGCCCTGTTTCTATAACTACTGAAATATTATAGTTCATTTCTTCTCAGTTTTATCAAGTAACTTAAAGAGTCTAAGATAAAAGGTTTTGCCATAATATGTACATGATATTAAACTACTAAAAATCTGTACATGCACATCTGGCCTATGTAACAGGGTTCAATCATATGAATTGACTTAATGGAGTTAGCTAGGCTATACACATATTTTTTATATTATTTTACACACTTTTCTTGCCTAAAAGAAAATTTACTGCTTATGGGTGCCCTAACTTCGTGACACAGTCAAATATAATGCATTCCGTGAGTGGGTTTTAAATTAGAAACATAATTTGTGTTGTGGCAGATGTCATTAAGAGCAAAGATAATATTAGCCTTTTAAGGGGCAATTTAAATGAATGGAATTTGTTATTAGATTAAAGAAATACATTCGTTCTACTAACCAGGACAAATAGTACCTTATATTTTTAGAAATTGTTTCTCAAGTACTATATCCCACAGTTACAAAAATGCATACAATTGCCAGACGCTACTGCACAATTCCAAATTTCTTAGATTCTCATCCATGTATTGCCCTGGAGGGTTAACTCTAGGCCTTGGATTCCTACCATTTGGTTCCGCTGGTGGGGCCCAGTCCACACGAAGTTCTGTGGAACTGATCTTCTGCACCCTGGGTGGGCCCAGCCTCCGGGGCGGCGCCTGGGCTGTGGTCACCGACACAGGCGAACTGTGTAAACAGCCCCCGTGATTACACGCCTGCACAGAAAAGCGGTACTTTGTGAATGGGACCAGGTTCCCGATGGTCGCTGAGATTTCATGACCTTCGTGGGGAACACATGGCTGGATGTCATCTAAAGGGGCGCAGGACAAAATATATTTCTCTATGGGCCCAGAACGATTTGAGGGTGCTGTCCAGGTGAGTGTCACAGAGTCTGAGCCAACAGGAATGATATAACTCAAGTTCAGGTTTCCCTCTGGGATGCCTGCTGTTGTCCTGTAGGTCACCGCTGCACTCCCTGTCGAACCATGCACGTTGGTGGCCTTGATGGAATAGGAATAGGAGGTATATGGTGACAGGCCAGTGTCTAAGAAGTCCTGGATACCTGGAGTTAAAGGGAAAAAAATAAGAATAGTTACATTCCACAAATTGGTAAGAAATCATGTCTACTTGCTTTCCCGTGATAAGACTTAACTACACAAACTACACCAACCCCCTCTTTATGTATTCACCCAGCATATTTAAGTGCTCACAGAAGCAGAGTTAGGCATCAGAGCCTGGCTTTAATCCACAGAGATTCTAGGCTTCCTCAATAGCGAAGATGCTGTCTTGGGAGGCGGTGAGCCCACGATGGGACCTCCCATGGCTGGGTTAAGGTCCTTCAGCCTTGGGGGTCCGAAGGCTGACTGAAGGACATGGAAAACAAATCTCAGAGTCCCTGGAAACATAAAGAGTTCAGGGGAGGCTGGGATAGTGCGGAGTTCACAAGGACCTCACCAAGCCGAAAATGAGCAGGTGTTCACCAGCTTCATGGATCTGACATTGGTGCCACGGGTGTGGCAGTGGTGGAGATTGGCCAGCTACCTCTCACACATGAGCCAGCGCCCTCTGAAGGGGGCACAGAAGCAAAAGCCAGAGGGAAATTGTCCTTCCCCTAGTACCACCATGGCAGTTGAGAGAAGGAAATAATTGAAGACTAAACACAGGAGTGGATGCCATCAGTGAAATGTCTGTATCTTCCCCAAGTTCGTATGCTAGACACCTAATGACCAAGGTGGTAATGTTAAGAGATGGGCCTTTGGGGTGTGATTAGGTTAAGAGGCTGAGCCCATAAATGAGATCAGTGCCCTGATAAAAGGGTCCTACAAAGGTCTTTCCTACCTCCTACCATGTGAGGACCAGGTAGAACTCGGCAGCCTGCCACCCAGAAGAGGACCTTCACTAGACCCTGACCACGCTGGTACCCTGACCTTGACCTCCAGAGCTTAAAGGAATACATTTCTGGTTTTTATAAGCCACTCACACTGTGGTATTTTTTTAAAATAGTAGCCTGGATGGACTAAGGCAGTGAACATCTGAGCGAAGGGTAATTTTCCCATTCTTTATGTGTGTCATTGCAAATTCTGCAGAAAAATATGTTGAGTGTCGTGCTCGAGTCCAAGTAGGACACAGAAGCCACAAAGTCACTGGTTTCCTTATCCATCTCCCTTCTCGATAATGAGAACTGTCCTTTCTCATCCTTGTATTTCTAGTGGCTCCAACACTTCCTGGTTTGGCATAGCACTGAATGAAAGTGTATTGAATGAATAAGTGCATGAATTAATAAATTTCCATATATACTCAATTTATTTTTCTAGGCAATAATATTAACAGCCTTCTAAAGACAACCGTTTCTTTACCCCATCTCTTGCTTTCTTTCTTATTCCCTCGCTGTATTTTCTATTTGTGTCTCTCAGAAGAACCACCTTGCCCCTTGCTGTGTTGATCCTTATGCTACAATAATACATTATAATGATATTAAAGGTAGAAATGAAGACCTCAGTTTCACAAAGATATATATCCCTGTCTGAAACTCTAAACTTAAACTATATCATCATCAAAGTCGTCATCCAGTTTCCCTGTGGGGACATTTGCCTAGAGTTCCATGCGAGGACTATCTCCCTGGACTAAGCCCCGGAGTGGGCTTTGATATTCCAAATAGGAATGGCCTCCTGATTGTGAATTTGGGGGGGGGGGGAGGAGGGGGCGGAGCAAAGTCAAAGCCCACTCTGATTGGTCCATTGGTTCTTCTCTTGTCTTTCTGCAGCAGAGAAGGTAGATTCTCCAACCTGGCTTTTATTGTAATAAAGAGTTTTTCATTTTAAATTTCCATCTCCCTGATTCTCATGCCTAGGTCTCCTTCAGTTTCAAACTCAAGTAGGAAGAAATAATGTGAGCAGCCGGCCACCCCTAAAATCTCAATACTACTAAAAGAGGGCAGTAGCCTACCCCACCCTACAGGCCCAACCTACCCCCATAGCTGTTTTGGTCACAACTCTGACACAGGAAACACCTTTGTGCAACCCAGATGGGGCTGCAGAGGATTCAATGTCAGGTGCTGGTTATGTATAATTCCCAATATCCTAACTTGACTTCTACACCTGTCTTCTACTTATGAAAGCTTATGAGTGAAATTTCAGGAGTGAAATTTGTGAGTGAAAAAGCACAGGAGTGAAATTTCATTTAGGAAAATGATTGACTATATCTTATTTTTTAAATGCTAATCCAGAAACTTTAGAACCATCCCACCATTATTAGCATGCTATTACTAACAACCAATAACCTGCAAAGTCTAGAAATGATAATGTACCAGTTGTCACGACCTCAGGTTGGAAACCCCTGACCCACAGGATCCCAGAGTGCATTAGGCCAGCTAGGAAAAGTTTTTATTCTGACAAGGAATTCTATAATAGTCTCAACCATATGATCAAACTTGCTTGGATGTCAACATTATTCATTTTCTTTGAAAAGTTCAATGACTCCCTACCTATAATTCCAAATAAATGCCTTTATTGAACCCGAAGCTTTATGTTCATCTGACTGAATATAAGCCCTGTTTCCTTTTCCTATTACACATGTTACCCACACACTGGAAACAGAGTAATAAACGCGAGGATATTATTGGAAACGATGCAAATTTCTGACAGTGTTAACCAATCCTTCTTGCTGTTCAAAGGTCACCATGCGGATAATTTTCACATCATTAATTATAGTGACTGTCAAGACATGCCAGAAGTAGCATTTTTAATGAAAAATAAGGTTTTAGGAAATAATACCTTGTATAATAGGATTATATAAATGCCTGATTAGTGAATGAGAGCGCATTTATTACGTAAGAAACTGTTGTTTGGATTCTGTATTAGTGCAATAGTGGAGAAGAGCCAGACTGCAGTGCTCACACGTACTGTTCTAGGAAATGGGCCACAATATGTTACTATGAGAAATATGCCTCTGGACTGAGAACACATCAGGAAGGTTAGTTTCATTACTGAAGTAAGCTGGATGAAAAACAGGGTGACTCTAATTGGCCACTTCAGACACAGTTTCAAGCAGGGGCACTGTCAGCGTTGAAATCACTTCAATATTTTTATAACTTGCTCTTCCCCTATCACAAAAGTTTAAGTTTCAGGACACCTGGCTCATGCTGGTATTTGGAAGAAAAGAAACACTGTAATAGCAGGTTTTCAGGGTGCTTTGCCAACGTGGCAGATGTAGACAGATGTTCATTTCCCTTCACAATCTGCATCGTGAAGTTCAGGGTTTCCATTAATTTCGAAGAAGACTTGCAGTACTGAAGAGACATTTAGAGTTAGTAGAAAATGCTGGACATTCTAATGAAGGTGCAAGTCACTCAGAATTAGGTGTGACATGTAACCTGTTATAATACATACAAAATAAAACCACACGCTATGCAGAAGTTTTAAAGCCAATCAATATCCTTCTAATGTCCTGAGGAAGGTTATGGGGCTTTAGTATTTCTTCACAGCTGTGTATACTCTTATAATGAATGAAACATGTGAAACCAGAATCTGGAAAATCAGGCATTAAACAGAGAGAACAGCATGGAACCATGAATCAGCATCACTGTTCCTGTGTTTCTTAAACTGGCGTCTTAAACTATCTCGTAGCCAAATGTGACAGCAAGTGAATAGCAGACAAGACAGAGCGAGAAGAAAGGAGAATTTTCGATTTTTTTCTGTGTCTTTGGGGAAACCTGATCCAAAACTTGAGTAAATATATTTCTGACAATGTGTCTCAACAGTTTGACTTCCATAAGCTCCTCTTAAATCTTCACAAACGTGGCAGATGCAAAGAGGGCACTTGTGTTTGTTCACACACGTCCTCTTTCAACCTAAGGCCGTGTTGTGTGCCGTCTATCTTTAACCTGAGAATTTTAAAAGCTGAATTCCCATAATAAAAATATTCGGTAAATTTCCTGCAACTCTTACACCAGAGAAAACTGCAGATTATTTTTTGTAATTCTTGCAGTCATTTCATATATTTTTCAATCAAAATATAATTCATAGGTTATTTTTAATACCACTTGATTACCTTAAACAACACATCATAAATATTTTTCACTCATTAATGTAAACTGAGATGCAAGGCAATTGTGTCCTATAATTAAGTCTGTAATGTATCAGGATTTTGTCACTCCAGTTAACATAATTTATGGAAAAGTTTTTGAATGTCTGAATTTTTCCAATATTTTGTTATGACATACAGGGTCTGTTCGAATCTGTTTTGTGTCCATCGATGATTATGCATTTAAGATATCTCCAAAATTAAATTCACTGAGTCAAATGGTATACAAAAGGGGAAGTGTTTTTCCATATAATTTAACAATTAATTCTGTAGGAAAGTTTGTGCCGCTGAGAACCCACACAGATATGCCAGCAGTTTAGGTCAATCCCTGCTCCTTCACATCCTCAGCAGCACTGGATGGGTCTGTTTCCTTTCATCTTTAAGGATTTGATAAGGGTTGAGGGCTTATCAAATCAGAAGCATCTCATTTATTGCATCTCTTTGACTGCTAATGAGATTGATAATGCATGATCCTGGGTCAGGAGGAAAAAACACACCCACTTCCAATAATGAGACAATTGACAAAAAGTTAACATGAATTCTACATTAGACAAGAGTATTATATCAATGTTAAGTTTCCTGAATTTGACCATTGCTCTGTGATTATATGAGAGAATTTTCTTGTTCTTACGAAATCCGGGCTAAAATATTTGGGGGTTAAGTGTCATGGTCTCTTTAGTCAACTCTCAAATGGTTCGGGAGCAATAATCCCAACGACAACAGCAGTAAAGCATCCGTGTGATCGTGGTGAAAAGCACATGAGAATTTTTACAACTCTTCTGTGGGACTGAATTGAAAAACACAAAAATAAGTAAAATGAAACAATCACTTCAAATTTAAAAAAAGAGAGAGATTCGTAATTCTCTCTCTGCTTGAAACACTCTGTGCTAGACAGAGGAAACCACAGTGTCCATCTTCCATGTCAAAGACCTTAACTAATGTATCAAGTCCCAGAAGATTATATGTTTCCATCCCCCAATCTTTAAACTCACTGTATGGGTATTCATCTTCAGTTGTGTAGATATCAGAACCATCCCTGAATAAACTGTAAGTAAGCCGGTGGGCATTGGGAGAATCAGGTGGGCTCCAGGAGAGATTGATAGCAGAAGAACTTTGAACTTGTCCTCTGGGAGGGGGCTGCTGGGACGGAGCTAAATTACAAGGGAGAGAGCATTTATTAGCAAAGGCAATCAATAAGCACACAAGTAAAGTGAAGTAAGATATCCAGCAAAGACATCTTTCTGACTCAGGATTACTTTATCAAGGAGACATGCGGTTGACCGAGACATTAATAAACGAATGGTATACATCATGAATTACTAAAACAAAGCTTTTTATCAATCAGCATAAAACAAATTTGTAATTGCAGGGGGAACCCACTAAGTTTACATTAAGCACTTCTTTGTCCTTTTTGGTGTGTGTGTGAGAAACTGTCCAAGGAAGCAAAACACGTCTTTTCTCTTTAATTAATTTAAATTTTGACATAAATAAGACCCACTGACACTTGAAATTTACGTAGCACGATTTTGGCGTTTCTGAAAGGAAGTTTTCCATTGCATTAAGCACAATACCTCCTCTTGCTTCACAGAGCACAGTGTAAAAAAGGATAATAGTTGGTCATACAAATAGCTGTCGATGTTATGAATGCTAAATAGTCCAAATATTAGCAAAAGACAATTGGAATGCACTATGTGAACCCAGCAGCTCCTGTCAAAGGCACCATGATGGTTACAGATAATACGACTGCTTCTTTCGGGTGCACAAGAGCATCCGTTTCACTACTTTGTGGACACTTTGTATGATAGAAGACCATGAAAACACTGTCTCCTATCCCTGTATATTTTCCTTGGTTTCCTATTTTCTGAACTCACAGAACTGACTCATCTTTACCCCCACTCGTGGCTAATCTTTATTTCAGCAAAAGGAGACAGTGCAATTAACAAAGGGAAAGGCACATGGGTGAGTTCCAGGGAAGGCAGCCACTTCCAGCCACACAGGATCTGCTTAATTCCCCCAGCAATGTGTTGTGTAAACGCCTGCCAAATGTTTCCAACCGGAGAGTTCATTAGAGACTCAGTGCCCAGGGTTTGCGTGGGGGCTGCTCTTACAGACAGATGCCCAGGAGGGTAGCACATGTTAAGCATAAACCTTTTGGTTGGATAAAATTTAAGAGACAATGAGCCACTCTTACTACTTTGGAGGGATGGTGGGAACCCTCATGAAATCCAGGTTCCCAGAAGCCAGCCAAAGCCAAATGTGTAAGTGGATCCTGCTATGTGGACTTCGTTCCATACATTCTCTTTAGCTTGATGGGGCTCAGCACTGAAGGGCACGTGTGAAGATCACGAGGCAGGGGCTGGGACCACTCAGATTGAGATGCCGCTAGTCCCAGGCCACTCCTACACTGACAGGAGGAGCTGGGTGCTAAATCTTCCAACTCCCCTTCCCAACAGCCCTCCAGATGACGGGCAGGTTCCTATTAGTAGCTGCAGCCAACTGCAAGTCAGAAGGCAAGAGAGGGTACTGGTGCTGGCCTCACGCACTCTTGGGAGACACAACAGGCTGGGGAACTATGATGTGGCCACGTGAAGTCACCCTGCTCACCAGGTAAAGACTTTCAACTCAAAGCTACTACTGCCTCGTCAGTATTCATGATTGATACACTCCACTGTAAAGACATGATATAATCTAATAGTAACATTTCATGAAAGCATTTCACGAGCACTGACTTTGAAATACATAAAATTCCATATATTATACATATGCTTCCTAAAAACAGTGTCCCTAACCCTGTGGTAGATAATACTGATGCCACAGTTTGAAAGAACAATAACATCGTGTCTTTGTGAAGCTGGTTGCTCGGGCGGTGGCTAGGTGGCTTGTGTAGCTCAGGGGATTGATCACAGGCCTGGGAACCAAAGGATCATGGTTCAATTCCTAGTCAGGGCACATGCCTGGGTTGCAGGCCAGTTCCCAGCAGGGGACACATGAGAGGCAACTATACACTGATATTTCTCTCCCTCTCTCCTTCCCTTCCCCTCTAAAGATGAATAAATAAAATCTTTTAAAAAAATGTTAAAACTACATACACTTTCACTCTTCCCCTTTATATCTTCTCTTCTCCTTTAGAATTTGCATTGCTATATTAAAATTCTAACTCTCCATATGCCTATTTAGATAGCGGACAAGTGTCGTAACAATCTCAAAATGACAATGAAAAGAGATTTGCAAACACCTTATGTTTTCGAATTCATGGATTTGCCATAATTGACATGGTCACTTTGGCTAAACACAGACAGGACCTGTGATCTTGTGCATTTTAATTTGGGGCTTTAAAGCCCATTGTTTTTGGTGGAACCACAAAGATCGTACCTTATTTGTAGCACGGAGAGCTTTGCACTGCCTTGCAATTTAATATCTTTTTAGTGATTACGAATGACTGCATCTCAAACTCTGCATGTGATCAGGGATTCAACAGATTTCAGGGTTCGAGCAGTCGAAACTGTCCTTCAGACTAGTTTCAAAGACAAGGAAAAACTTTTAGGATGACTGAAAGACAAGGAGATGTTTCAGTCCCATGTCAAAGGTATTGAAAATGATTTGTGTTGCATGAAAATTTCCTTGGCAACAAACACAGGCACCAACACACACACACGGGCCCTGCGAAACCTTTAAGTTGACAACTTGTTAGGACAGCCTCACAATCTTGTCCCAGTCTCCAGTGGGAATGGATAGTGCTGACTTGGCACTTACATAAGCATGTTCACAGACCTGAAGGGTTAGGCACTCTAATGCCACTCGAACAATGCATATGAAATCCTGGGCATGAGTTCATTTGAGCTCCCCTTTATGGGCTGAAAGTAGACTTCGGAGAAAATGATCACGTATTCATTCATCAAAATTGCCAGCAATGGTCTTTGCGTACACCCAACTCTCATTTAAACGTGTAATATTGTGTGACTGCATCCATCTGTCTAGGAGCCATGAGCTTCTATCTTGGATTGGGCCCTTCGGTAGATACATGTCTACAGTCAAACTCTGAAAGGACCTGCTGAGCTTTTCCCCGTTTATAGGAAGTGGATGGTCACGCCCACCTCTCAGAGTTGTGCCAAGTATGAAATGAGTGTGTGTGCACAAATGTGTGTCTGTCTATCTCACAAAAGGCTGACAGTACTGTGCCTGTTACACAGGCATCTACTGTATTTTTTGGACCATAAGACACACCTGGGTTTTAGAGGAGGAAAATAGAAAAAAAATTTCTTGAAGCAAAAAAAAATGGAAAATATTTAATAACATAAATAACATAATATTTCACCAATGTAAATGTAAACAGAACTCAACAGCAGCATTAACAACCATTAATCCTCCCAAATTTGGGGGGGGCATGCATCTTATAGTCCAAAAAATACTGCAGATTCCCTCTATCTTTTTGCTTTGCCATCCCTAAGAGGTTATCTCTGTCCACACAGTCCAGGTAGATGACCACTCAGTCCACATCCGGTTCATCAGGAAAGTGAAGAGGAGGGACAGAGGGCACTGCCAGTGCCCAGGAACCCCCCATGTCATTGTCTCCCTCCCCATGCCAGCCGGGAGATTAGGGACCTTGGCTAATTATAGGAGAAGAGGCCATGCACCCAGCCCTACATTCTGTTAACATAAAACAGTGGATGATGGGGACTGAGAACAACTCAACAGTGCCTGCCATAGATGAGATGAAAAATCTAAACAATAGCTAGAAAACTATGAGAAATTTAAAAAATAAAACGAGACTAGGGCACTTCTAGTTAAACCAGCACAAAGAATGTAGTGATAGAACACTGGACAAATCATCAAAATAAGTCTTCCTAACGCACTCCTAGGCAGGCAATAAATGGAGAATTAAATGGAGAATATCGATTCTTAACAAACTGGCAGAGCTTTGAGGAGAGACCACAAGCGTCTGTGGCCTTTCTGCTCCATAGCCAAGTATATTTGTTTCAGCAGAGGAGGGCTGGCTATAAATGCCAGCACCTTTGGCACCACAGGGCACTGATGACTTCATCCGGCAGTGGTGACAACAACTCATAGCTTTGCCATCTCAAAAGGGCAGGCTCATTCAGGAACAGTGAGGAAAACCCACAGACCTGCCACCTTGAGGATGTGCTCTCCACTGGTCCAAGTAGTGAACTAACCACAGCATCGGGCAGGAGATTCTGGGCAAGGAACAGCCCCTGGAGCTTGAGACAAGCTCTCTACAGCTCCCAGCCAGCTAGGGAGCTATGGAGGTATGCGGAAGAACCAAGAAAGTCTGGTAAGGGGTGAAGGTCAAGGGAGAGCTGAGAACCAGCTACACTCCTGAATGCATTTCCAATCCATGCATGTTGATTGGCAGAAGCTACAGGGCCTGAAAGTATGTGAGCACAATAAACACTGATCAATCATATCACCAGTTGATTCAGACACAGGAATGACCTCCCAGGCAGTCAGACTGTAAGCAAGCATTAAAATTTTACAAAGCTGATTACAGACATCAACAGCTGTGAGCTACAGTGGAGAAAGTTTTCCATCCCTTAAGTCTATGCAAATTGCCAAGAAGAAAATCTAACAACTTCAGTGTCTTCAATTTAAAACTGCAACGCACTCAAAGAAACTGTGAACCATGCTCATAAAAAAAAGGCAATCAATAGAAACAGACTCTTGAGTATAACAAGCAAATAGTAAACTTGAAGATAAAGCCAGAGATAGAACTTAGAGATACAGCAATCTGATTTATTCAATTTAAAGGAAAGAGGGAGGAACAAGATGGAACACAAAGGAACAGAGTCTAGGGACCTATGAGAACATGTCAGGTGCACCATGCACCAACATGAGAAATGGGATCCCCAAAAGGAAAACGAGATGAAAGACAAAGGGGCAGAGAGTACAACTGTGGTTGCCAGGGTCTGAGAATGGGGGGACTAACGTTTAAGGGGTGCAGGGCTCCAGTTTTACAAGAAGAAATGAGTTATGGAGGTGGATGAGAGTGATGGTTGCCTAACATTAGAAATGTATTTAATATTGTGAACCCGTGCAGTTAAAAATGGTTTATATGGTAAGTTTTGCTGTTTCTATGTTACCCAAAGAAAAATATTTCTTTTTAAAACAAGGAGAGCTATAAGAGCCTCTTTGATAAGTAGGGGTAAAGAAAAAATGTGAATGATAAAAAGATGGATGGATAAGCAAGGATAAACATAAAAGTGAGTAGAGAGTAGAGTATCAGGAAGACTGAAACACAAATGATTCATAAATAATTAAAACATATGTAACATGCAATGAAGTAATAAATATATATGTGCATATATATATATGTGGATATAAATATGTTAAGTTTATAGCCAGAAATTTAAGGCAAACTGGAATCTATCTAGACAAGAACACAGAAAGCAGAGTTATTAAACACCTGTTTTCCTTCTATTCCTCCTATCCAGGGGAATGACTATCATTTTGAAAGCATGAAATAAATATTCACAGGAAAGAAGGAAATCACACAACAAGAAAGCATATTATCAGAGGCCTAACTACTTTACGTGAAATCAAATCAATTCTCCTGCACTCTGAAAATTACATCTTAGGATTCTTATCCCAAATCCCCATCATAAAAAAAAAAAAGAAAGAAATCACAGAGGCTATTGCTAAACTGTTGTCAGTGGTCTCTAAGGAAATGGAAAAGATAATAGTTATAATCGCACGGTATCCAAACTGTATAGAAAAGCACCGTGAAACATTTTAATTCTGGAGGAAAACCCATTCTTGACACCCGTTGGAGGGAGAGGAAACATGAGCCCGAGGTAGTTCACAGTTTCAACAATAGATAGCACTACGTTCCTTTCAATAACATTGTGTCTTTGTGAGGCTGGTTGCTCCTGCGGTTGCTAGGATAAAAAGCAAGGGCCGTGGGAGAATCGCAGAGGAGCAGGACAGAAAGCAGGCTCCCTTCACACGAGTCCTACAGCGGGGGCTTTCCTGAGCCCCATGTTTCAAGCTCCTGTGAAGGTGGGAATCTTAATTTTTTTTTTAATGAATGACCTCTTCTGAGCCTGAGCTTCTAACTTTGCACCGTGTTTTGTAAGTTTTCTGCAACACAAACCTCACATAGCAGCAGCAACAACTGCAGATGGTTGAAGGAAGATGCTGGCTACCATAGGTCACAGTGTTAAAGAGAGACATCGAAATGCTTATATCCAGGAAAGAATCATTAGAAATATGAAAACTTTTTAAAAGTTATTAACAATTGGAAGCCTTTGAAGAGATCGAGAATGGACAGCCCAGAGAAGAAAAGAGCTGACGCCAGATGTCTGACGCTACTAAGAAACGCCGGCCAGGCGCCCAGTGACCAGGTTATCTGGTTTCGCCTGAAGTATAATTCCTCAACCGTGTCTCAGAAACAAGAATAGGTAGCAACATGTGGAGCTGAGGCCAATACGTTCACACAAAACTCGAGCAGAACTGATCAAAAATCACTGAGATTGGGTCGGTTGTCTGTAAGACTGCCACGATTCCATTTAAATGATGATCAGCTGACATCCAACTCAATTTCTGCTGCACAAAAATCAATGAACTCTAGCGCTAATCAATGAATAACAAATATTAATTAAATGCTCAAGGAAAGCCAGAGTGGTGTTTAGACTGTATTTATACATGGGGTAATGATCATCCTTTCTCAATAACAGCATGAACATCTACAGTTTTACTTAGACTAAAATCCAGAAGTTCCAGTGAACCATGGGACAGTGAAGACACATCACACATGCACAAAATGTAAATACATCTTCATCATTAGCTACGATGCCCCCTTTGCTGCCTCTCTATCCAGTGCAGTTGCCAGGGAGCCCAACATCCGTTACTTATGGCTGCGTTCCTCAAACACAGAGAGCACAGTACCCAGCCTGCTTGCTTAGGACGATTTGTCCTGACCGGTGCCAGGTACAACGCATTGCAGAAGGGTCCTTACACATGTTTTCAGCAAGCATTTCTTAGGAATTCTGAAAAAAGGCAAGGGCATATGGTCTTGAAGTAAATATTTTAAAAATCACCAGCAGGTTTTAAATGGCAGACTGCGGGGGACCTGGTGGGATCAGTTCACGAAAGTGGGAAAGGGTGTTGGGAAGTCAAAAGATACTCAGATGCGACTTTTGGCTTTCAAGAGTTAAAATGAGAAACATGGGTGATATTTAAACAACTAACGCTAGTGAAAGTAGGAAGAGAAGAATATTGAAATACAGGAGTTAGTAATACGCTACGATAAATAATGATAATGATCGCTACAATATCAATAAACGAGTACTAGTAGCACCGTGCCCACAAAATGTGTGGGATGGAAGGACAGACTACTCCTAATGAAGTGCAAGTCTTCCACTTGTTAGAGAAAATCATCCAGAAAGACTGGTGTGTGGTGGGGTGACCAATCATCTGGCTTACCTAGTAATGTCCTGACTTTGACCCAGAAAGCCCCTCCCTTTGGGGTAAAGTAGGACTTCAGTCACCTTCCCAGTGACACAAAAAACCCTAGCACATATCCCATTAGCAATATTATCATATTGCCATTTTCCACAACTTAATCAAGGGAAAAGAACACCAGAGTCATTTAGTACGATTTCTTTTTTATCTCTCCCCTAACGGGTCCACATTGGCCCTAAGCCTTCCTGCTGCATTCCCCACAGAGAGAGGAACAGCCGGCCCCCTGCCCCGTGGGACATTCTGCAGAGGCCAGCACAGGGCCAGGCGCACTTACCCTGGCTGCAGCCCCACGGGTTGTTGACATCCAGGTGGCTCGCACTGGAAACACAGGCGTCACACTTTGAGCCGGTGACAAATCGTTTGCAGAAACACTGGCCCGTGACCAAGTGACAGCTCTCATTCAAAGCTCCTGAGAGATGACAATTGCAAGGCTGACATCTGAAAACAAGAGAAATAAACCATCCAAGAGAATCACGTTTGGGTTAATAATTCATAGTGTAAGTCACATGCATCTACCGATAACATTGTGGGATGAGATGTTTTGGCCACTGTGCTGAAAATGATTCTTGAATTAAACAGGATACAAAACAAAAAAGAAAAAAGTATATTTATTAAAATGCTGCTTAGGGTAAAACCTTAATGAAGCCTTCTCCTTGTAAACTAATTGAGGGCCTCCCAAAGCCTCTTACTTTTCTTGTTTCCATGCCACAGTACACCTGATGGATTATTTTGAATCCTGTTGCTCAAGAAAGAATACTGTAAATGTTGCTTTCTCACGGAAAACAGTTTTCATGACTGCTAAAATTTAAGATTAGGCATCCCTAAAATGATCCATTCAAGTATCTATCGAGTGGTGAGATAGAAAGTGGGTGTAATAATCATTGTTTTCCCTAAAAAGCTTTAGTTTTCCCCTAATAAAACTCAATTCTATATTTAGTTTTATGAAGACTAACTTTCACTAAGAAAACAGTTTAGGGAAGGCATGTTCCAATGCTGATGGTGCCTTAATAAATGTTTTATTCTCTTGTTTATTTTATGCACTAAACTCACTTATCCAGAATGGTTGGAGAACAGGAGAACAGAGAATTATTGTGACCAATAAAAAGAAGCTAATGCTATACATATCATGGGATAACTTCACTGCAACTCACATTTCTTGGACCCAAAGTTGCTCCTCCAAAAATTACTATTCTGGCTTTTTGCTGATAGAAACTAAAACCTATTTCCTCAAACTCTCAACTTGTGACAATGTCACTGATTAGAATGAGCAATTCCAATGAGCAACTGGTGCCAGGAAGTACTAGAGAAGCAGAAATAGAACTTGTCCGAAGATCGGCCCCATTTAACAGGGGCTTTCCATACAATCCATTTACTAACGACCTTACAGACTCGCCTATGCTTTCTAATGCAGATGCTGGGTTGGATGGACTTGCTTTACCCACTGAAACTTCTACAGTGTGGTCTTCTAGGTGATCGTTCCACACCCTTAAAAAGGCAGATAAAAGCTAAGCTGCTAATTAAGCTGCAAATTTGTTTTATGGACTAATATCACCTAGGGAATAAATGAAGCACACTTTACCTCGAAAACCACTACACTGTAGTGCGCCCTCTTTCTCCACGATAAAAGGACATTTTTCTCCTGCAACCAACTACATGAAGTGCTTTATGTAGAGACATGGAATCAGGGCCACATTTCAAATAGATGTTTTGTGTGGGCTACCTAAGTATGGGAGTTAAAGAAAACCTTGCATTGAAATTAAAACGGAATTAGAGAAGCAGCAAAATATTTAATTTGCTCTTAGGTTCATTACATGCTATTACTTAGAGGATGTTGCTTGCAGCTTTTTTATGTCCTATTGGTAAGATGTAGCAATAAGATGCATGCTTCTTCCAGTACCTAATTTATCACCACACCACTCATGAATAAGTGTCTCTGGAGTATTTCAGTTTTTATTACCATTCACTCATGAGACAATCACACTCGTTTTATATACAGTACATTTAGAGGAACAGTTTCCAATGTATAGCGTAATTCCTTTTCTTGATGCTGTTCTCATTTCTTCCAGCTACATGCTTAACTCTAAGTCAGCTCTAAGGCAATGTCCATGGGGTATTACGTTCTGAATCTAAATGGAACAAATAAATCACTTCTTAGGAAAGCAGGCAGTGTTTTGAGTAATTAAATGGGACTATTCCTGATTTTATAGTCTCCCATCCAAGCCATGGTTACATCTAACTTATCTGACTCGTGATAATTGCGTGACTCCAGTATGAGGGAATTTTACCTGGAGAAAGTTCACAGGAGACTTTTCTGAATATGATAGTTTGTTTCTAGCCCAGAGGACAATGGGGCTAATTTTGTAATTAAGGCTTAAGTAAAATGATTCCTGTAAATTTCTCAGCTACTCAAATATAATTTCAAACATTTCCAAGACTCTTTAGCAAATAAGCCACAAGTCTGATGTCATTTTATAAGTTAGCACTCCTCAAGAGCACTTTCTAAATGAGATAGAGCTCGCGTTTATTAAAACAGAATTATACATAATAAAGGAAAAGACATTTTAAGCTTTGAGAGAGAAACAGCAAACTAAGATGAATTGCAATATTGATTTTGTCAGGATAAATGGTTTCTGTAATATTAATATAAAGAAACCTTTATTACACTGACTCTCCTGGTATAGCCCGAGCTCTCCCACAATCTGTTTAAAATCTTCATTTTTCATCCTTATGGGAAAACCTCACTTGCTAAATGGATTTCATAAAGAGTAATCTGTCAAGATTTATATAGATAAACAATTTGTGATGTTTATTGACCAGTTCATTATGGTAAACAAAACAGAAGGGAAGCATCGCTAATCTCCACGCGCAGGCAGCTTATGGTAGTTCGGATCGGGCCTCGGTCTTCACTGGACACAATGGGAAAGAAGTTAATTGGCCTCTGTCTCTTAAATCACAAATCTCGTCTATTTCACTTTCCAGGGAGCCTCTTCTCGTGGAACAAACAATGAGAGAGAGAGTCATGCTCCTTCTTGCTTTTGCAGAAACATCACTATTAATGAAGGGAGCGTGTTTCAATAATGCATCGCACCGTCAGGGACCCCACCATCTGAGGAAGAGCTGCTTTCGGAGGCCCAGAGTCACGTGCCGGGATGTAGATCCCTTTACCGGCATTGCTCTCTGGACGCCTCCTTCTGTCTGGGGTCTCTGCTCACGGGTACCATACCAGGTTGGTAACACAAAAAAATTATGGAAGGTCAATTATATTCCAGGGCTGGAGTAACAGTGGAGACATAAAAATGGGTAAGACACAGAGTTGGCCCTGTTCTTTTTTTTTTAATTAATATTTTTATTGATTGTGCCATTACAGTTGTTCTATTCCCCCTTCATTCCCCTCCACCCTACCCCCCCCCCGTCCCCACCATTACCCCCCCTTTGGTTTATGACCATGTGTCTCAAGTTCTTTAGATTCTATATTTCCCATGCTATTCTTGCCCCCTCCATCTATTTTCTACCTACTGTCTATGCTACTTATTTTCTGTACCTTCTCCCCCCTTCTCTTTCTCCCACTCCCCTGTTGCTAACCCTCCTTGAGATCTTCCTTTCTACATTTCCACTCCTGATCTAGCTGTCCTTTTAGTTTTCTTTTGTTTTAGGTATGGTCGTTAATAACTGTGAGTTTGTTGTCCTTTCACTGTTCATGTTTTTTTAACTTCTTTTTCTTAGATAAGTCCCTTTAACATTTCATATAATAAGGGCTTGGTGATGATGAACTCCTTGAGGAGCTCAGAGTCTAGTGAGATATAAATTTTTAAAAAATAGAGTATTTTTAAAGATATTTATTTATTTGTTTATTTATTTATTTATTTTTAGGGAGAGAGGGAGGGAGAAGGAGAGGGAGAGAAGCATCAGTGTGTGGTTGTCTCTCACGTGCCTCCTACTGGGGACCTGGTCTGCAACCCAGGCATGTGCCCTGACTGGGAATCAAACTGATGACCCTTTGGTACACAGGCCTGCACTCAATCCATTGAGCCACACCAGCCTGGGCAAAAAGCATATTAATAAAGATGTACATAGGCTCTTTAAGGGCACAGAAAAGGGGCTGCTCTCTAGTGTGGGGGCAAGGGAGAGGACAGGGAATGGAGGATGAAGAAGGAATCTTGGAGGTGTTTGTGCTGCTTATGAAATTAGAAACAAACCAGGCAAATCGGAGAGGGAGAAAAATAGAAAATACACAAAAGGAGAGGGTGTCAAATTAGAAGCAATTCAAGAGCTTAGGATACAGATTCAGAACAGGGGGTAGGTAGTGACAGATCGAGCTGGAAAGGTAAGGAGAGAGAAGATATTGCTAAATGAGGGACATTTGCAACGGAAGTATGGAGCGATGGGGAGGAAGGGGTTAGATCTAAGAAATAGTTAGTAAAAGCTCCAGGGTGAGATGGGCAAACAGAAAAGAGAAGCAAACAAGGGCCTGGAGTTACTCCAGTTTTCTAATTTGCTGACAGAGGGATGATGGAGATACCATGCAATAGAATAAGGAAAGAAGGAAGAGACCTCAATCACTGAGAGGATCTAGAGAAGAATTACTAACAATTACTAATGAATAGAATGGAATGAGGCTTCAAGGCAAACTGGAGAAATTGGACAAAGACTTTTCTTCCATCCCTAGCACAGAGACTAGTACACCATAAGGGTTCAATAAAATTTGTTGAATAAATGACAAGTTAGCTGTTTGGAGCCCTTTTTGATTGGCATAGTTGTTCCCCCAACTAATATCTCCTCCAAGGAAGGGGCCACTTTTCTTCCAGGGTTGGCCCTCCTCTGTAAGAGGGCCACTTTCAGTGGCCCAGCCAATCTAGACCCCAATTCCACGCTATTTGAGGAAAATTACAATTCAGTGTGTGCCAGCTGGTAAGAGACGAGTAGTGATACAGCTGGCCCGTGGAGGCTTAAAAAAAGGACAGAATACAACTAATTAATAGAGAGAGAGGCCCTTAGGGGGAAAGCTTCAGGAGGTTGTGATATGTGAGTGTTCCGGAGACACCGGGGCAGTTCTAGGGGTGTGGGGAAAGGAATCCCAGTGACGGGTCAACTTCAGGACACAGCCCGGACTGCACTGTCACCTGTGGGTGACAACTACCGATAGGGACAAGGGGGATGTGGCCCATTTTTGTCTTATTGTTTTTGTTTCAGACAAATACAATATACTTTTTTTTTTGCTTTATTGATTTTTCAGTGGACAGACTTTTATTTTTTTTAACTGCATTGTTTCTGATACTGATTAAGTCATGTTCGCTATATGTGTCAGCCGTAAATGAAGTGATTTTTGCACTTGGATCAGCTTTTTCAAATGTATGTCCCCTTTTCTCGTGAGAGGTAACTTTTGAAGAATGCACCACAGGGGTGGGAACAAGTGATGGTTTTCCAGCTTGTTATCCTTG